GCCTCTTCCGTCTTCGGTTGATGAGCAACCAATAACAAGCACTGCCTTCGCCGCAACTATTTCCCAACCCACAATACAATCAGCTTCATATCCTTCCACGCCGGCCATACTTTTATTACCCTTCCCTTTACTACTGGAAACCGAGACCGCGTTCATTTACCTTGCCACTAGTTGATCTCCTCTTATTTGTTTGATTCCCTTTGGAGTTGGGAATTTAAGAAGTTGGTGATATGTTGATGGTACGAGCTTCATCTCGTGTAACCATGGTCTGCCAAGAATTATCTACTACTTCAATAGGGTAGTCTTCATGACCCCTTCGGTGTTCGTGGGCAGCAATATCTCCCATCGGGTTATCACACTTGCTAAGTTGAACTAGATGAGGAGTTTTATTGCCGGAATGATGCTTCCGGTTAGGTTGGCTTGCTCTAGTACTCTCCATTGAATGATATTGGCTGAACTTCCTAGGTCCACCAAAACATGTTTAATTTTAAAATCTAGAACATTAATAGAGATTACCAGGGCATTGTTGTGCGGTAGTAGAAGTCCATCGGCATCCTCCTCTGTGAAGATGATGTCATCCCCGATGACTTCCAAGAGTCTCTTGCTATGAGTCATCGATACCTTTGTCTTTTTTGCCGATCTGCATCAAATCATCCTTTGAGTTATCCCTGTTTCTTTCTCGATCCCGATCCTTGTTTGATGCTAGGAACCCGACTTGATCATCTTCTATTCTTATCTTTGACTCGTATTGGTTATGGACATTTGCCCATGTAGTTGCCTGGAACTCGAACATGCTTTCTTTCAATTTCCGGGAGGCGTCGGAGCTCCTCGGGTTTAGCCTCTTATTAAATGCCTCAGCTGCCCATTCATCTGGCATGACCGGTAGTTGTATCCTTTCTTTCTGAAACCTGGACACGAACTCAACCAGTAATTCGGACTCTCCTTGCGTAATTCTAAGTATGTCCGCCTTTCAGGCCTGTACTTTCCTGGCCCTAGCACGAGAAGGAGTCTGCAAGCATTTCGAATTTCATTCGCTCTTCCCGAAGTGAGAGAATTGCATGTAGAGATCATCCCCAGATGCTTGGGCTGCCATGTAAAGACTATCTTTCCCTTCATCAATTGCAATCCCAAGTTCAATTATAGCCTCAGAATTCCTTAGCTGAGCTAATGATTTAGATGCGGAATCTGAGGTAATGGCTCACTTTACTACCTCTATTTAGTGTTAAGGTAAGAGTGAGTACCATGTCAAGGCCCCCTTCGTGTAGGTTTCTCCGAACTTCTTCAGCATGACTGATTCAATCTTGTATGGAACCAAGTCATTTCCTTTCGCCGCCATTGTCTAGGTGGTGATGTGCTCCGGGGGGTCTGAAGTCCCATCATATTTTGGTACATTCGCATTTTGAATTGCTTCGAAATTAACTTAGGTGCCGCACTCGATTTGAACGACAACTGGATGTATTTCTTTGAGTCCGCTCCCTTCAATACTGGCGGTGCACCCAGAATTTGGTCCATTCAGCGTTTATTTCCCTCATAAATTGCATGAGCTCAATTTTGAAGGGATCATTACTGTTGTTGTTACCAGATTCGCTGTCGATCCCCCCGGCCCCGTCGAAGCTAACCTCACCCCTCGGGATATTGTTATCAACCCTTTGGGCTGTTTGATTCGCGGGAGTACCAAGAGGAACTAGACCCCTCCATTAGCATTGTTGGAAGCACCCGACAACGCTTGCCTTGATTCTGTCATGGCCTAGTCTTGCCGTGAAAGATGGCCCATGATGGCCTTTTGTTGTTCTCTCAAGATCCTCACCGTTTTCGCAACGTGCTCGTCTTCGACATTATTAGGAGTTGCCTCATGTTCGTGTCGTGGATATCGCCCATCATGAACCGGCGTGGCTATGTCTTCCTCGTTGCGGGTGTCACTAATCGAATCCTCGTGTCGAGGCGGATTTTCTTGGGCCTCAACATTATGTGCGATGTTGTCATCGTTAGCTGCCATCTTTTAAGATTTTTACTCAGAAACAAAGAATCAAACAGATTAGTAATAGATGCGAGAATCAATTCAATTACACAACTATCTAAGCTCCACGATGGGCGCCAAACTATTTACCCGTAAAGCGGTACAATTGAATTTATAGCGTGGTTTATAGACAAGCGAATCGATTTGATCCCAAAGTAATAAATAAATTAAATAAAATGTAAGGCTCAGCGTAGAAATTGAGATAAAATAACAAACAACTTGGTTCTGGGAGCAAAGCTTCCGTAGGCAGCAATAAGAATATCGTTAGACATAAAATAAAGTATTATTTAGCTTGGAATAATGTGTAGCATAAGTTTGTCAGAATTTTCGTGTGTTACAATGGCTGTTGAAGTCACTATTTATAGCTATACCTAGGGAACATGGTCTTAGGATCAAGCCCTTCTTAAATGACAATAATGGGGGCATTGTTGAATAGGCAACGATATACCATAAATGCCAAAATTCTCTATAACATATGTGTATTTAATGCCGATGAATATTTTTCATTGAATATCAACAAATATTTGTTTGACCTCATTGATAATGTTCCCTTACGGGTTTACCCGATGTCAACCGAAGTTGTTGCCCACGGTCTTGGCTTCCATTTGCTTCGTCTTTCGTCTTTTCCCAGTTTTACGTGTCATTCTGTCATTCAAATACTTAATATAAACCAATTTTACTCTATACAAGCATAATTATAAATTGTATTAATAAATTTGCTTTAGTTTATTGATAGTTTGATTAGTGATAGCATGATAAAATGTAGAATTCTAGAAAACAATTAGAATTGGTTGGGTGCTATGTCCAAAAAGTTTTAAGAAAGAGTCGTTAATTTGAAGAGGAAATGAGACAAATAAAAATAAATGGAGAGCGAAAGAAAACATTGGAGGGCAACTTTATGATTGGGAGGGGCAAAAAAAAAAAAACCTACATAGGCAAAAGGCGGTGACCAAAATAGTATTAACCTGTTTGAGACGACGAACATATATAGTGAATTACTGAACAAAAGAGGCGCAGTCCCTTGTCCTTCTCAGGTAAGAGCAGAGCTTCTAAGCTCTGTGTGATCGGCGTTCCCTCAATTAATTAACGTATGACCCAAGAAGGTAGAAAAATAATGGGGAGACCGAAAGGAGATGGAGCTAGAAGCAAGTCTCGTCCCTCTAGCAGCAGGTCCCCTCTTTCTTCCTTATTCATTCTCTTCGTTTTTATTATGCTCGTTTTCTTAATATTTGTAATTATTTGGGTTTGAATGCAGTCTTGCTGCTTCATTACTGCCCCAAGGTTCTACCCCTGTGGGATTCGGAGGCTATATGGGCACTTCCCGTGTTGACTCTTCTTTGTCAGCTGAAGATTCTCCCCCTTTCTTGGTACACTCTAATTTAACTTCTCTTACACTTAAAATTTTTATGCGTTTTGGTATTTTTCATTGTTAGAATTTTAAACTATATTAATGGGCACTAGATTCTGCAATTTACGAGCTTTATTTTTTCTTTAACAAAATTCGAAAGCTTCCTAATTGATGGTTTATCTGAATTTGATTGATTAATTGCCGCTTATCCAAATGACAAGGCTGACCCACAAGGACCTTTTTTTTTCTAAGTGAAAAAAAGTGGTAGTGTTTCCACTCTTAATTGTGATGGCGTATTTGTTTGTAGGATATTGACAGTGAAGTGGCGCAACACTTGAAGAGGCTTGCCAGAAAGGACCCTACCACTAAAGTAATTTCGTTTCTTATTCTATTGTTAGAATGCAGTTTGGACAATATTAGTTCCTTGAGAGATGCGAATTAGGAAGCAATCTTCATATTCATTATTCATCTAATTTTTTTTGTTTCATTGTTGGACTTGCCTGTAGTTCGGTGATACTTTAATTTTTCATGTTTGAGAAAACTCATTAAAATTCCTCTCTTTTCTAACAGCTGAAAGCATTGGCATCTCTATCTCAGTTATTCCAACAAAAGACTGCAAAGGATATAATACCAACAATCCCACAGTGGGTATGCTCACTTCTCTTTCCTAGTTGCTGGCCAATACCCTAATAGTACAACGTCTAGGCAATTGGCCGTGCTATATCTTATCTTGCATATTTTGCCATTGGTGGAAAAAGATTTTGGCCTCCTTTTAAAGAAAGTTCCCTATTGAAGTGATTATTTGAAATAAGAATCAGTATAACTAAGTTCAACAATCGTTTTAAGTTTCTGTTTCAGATGAAAACAATTTAAATTTCTAGACAGGGTCTTCAAAAAAATGAAAATTTCTAGATATGCACATTCGTATACTGCTGCTTTCAAAGAAAAAAGAGTCCATGAGCGGTCAGGTGCATGCTGTATTGCCTTGGTGCCGACTCTGAATTGTCGAACGAGGTGGAGCACCTAACTTGCATCTTACCTAGCTTTAAGTTTAAGTGCTCAGGCGAGCCTTTAATGACACTATTTACATTTTGAGTGTTGGATTGTTGTAACTATGGAGTGTTTCTAAATTTTTTATGGTTTGGGTGGAAGAATTACTAGTTATCAGTCTCTTAAGTGGTTCTTACTCCCCTGCTCTTCCTGATAGGCATTTGAATACAAGAAGTTGCTACTGGATTACAGCAGAGAGGTTCGACGAGCAACTCATGNTATAGATTAAATTGCAACCTGCTGCCAGTGATGCGGTAGTTAAGGAATATGTTGACAGGCACTTGCATTTTCGTAAAATTGACCCCTAAATCATTTAATGATTGGGTGGTGCAAATGATACCCATGATAATAATAACTCTTTCTTCTTAAGTAGCTGAAACCTGATTCATAACTTGGAAATTTGCTGTTTGCTGCAACCTCTAGCATAGTTATGGTTTTAAACTGCCCCAACTCAAATCAGTCCCATTTAGTTTGAAGCGGATGAGTAGTTTTCTCAATCTTTTGTCGCAGATCATATTTGTAGCTTTTGGATACCATCTATAGCTTCCAAATTTTTGTTGTTTCCTGTCCTTACTTTGGGTGATTTTCATTGTCCTTTTTCTTCTCCTCTTTTTGCAGAAGAGGTTTAGTTCCTTATCTGAAGTCTTTGATGGGACCATGGTGGTTTTCCCAGTTTGATTCTGTCTATGAAGTTTCCCAGGCTGCAAAAAGATCATTTCAGGTTCGTGTGTTTCTCAGACAGTAACCTCATTGTAGATTTACTAACTAATTGCATGGTACTCTCACGTGCAACTTGAGGATACAGAATAAACTTTCTTCTAATTGGAAGTGCTAGACACCAAAATGCAATTGAGGACCAACATGATAGTGTATCGATGCAGTGAAGTGGAACGAATACATGAATTTCATGTAATAGTTTTGTCTTTAAGTTGTATTAGTTAGACTTGGTTTATGTTTGACCAGCTCTGCTTTGCTTATCATGGCATAGAAAATAGATATGTCGGAGGTACCTACTTTGTTTATGCACTGTTCGAATCTTCTTCTGAATGGATAGGTGCTGTAATCTATACCTTTGGTTTCCAACGAAATTTTAAGTAATCTTTGGAACTTATAATCAATCCCATGTTTATTTTTAGCTGTTGCTCATGGATAAACTTATTCAGCAAAGGTTGTATATCTGAGAGTATCCACATGTTGTGGTTTAAAGCACAGAAAGGATCTGAGGCATGATCTGAAAGATCAAGGAGATGCTATTCGTTTTTTGGTTCTGTTTTGTTGATGTAACTTCTTCACTCAGTTGTCTGTTAATATATAACTAAATAAAGCACAATGTCAGCTGTTTCAGTCTTCATCCTATGCCTCACGGTCCATCTGTGTAAATATTAACAGGCTGCTTTTCCAGCACCAGAGAAGAGACTAGATGTCTTGATGTTATACACATCGGAGATATTCAAGTACATTGAGGAAAATCTGAAGCTTACTCCCCAGAGCATGTCAGATAAGAGTGTGGCATCGGATGAACTAGAAGAGATGCACATGCAGGTAATATCATGATTGTATTATCATTTTTCCTGTTATGATCAGCTGCATGAATGTTGATTGAATTGGCTTTTTGCTTCCTGCAAATTCTCTATCAATCATGTATAATGAAGCGTAAAAGCTGCATATATTTCGATTAATATTCATCATGAGGAAGGCATTTAAAAATGAAAGGTTTCAGTAGATTAATTTCTTGCCTGGAACCTTCAACTTCAAGTGCTTCAGTAAAAACATCTTTTTCTAGTTCTTATCACCAGCATAAGATTGTGCTTCTAAAAGCTTCCCAACAGCACAACATTCCTGCTTTTTCAGGTTGAATTCTCTGGTATGGCATGAACCAAAGTATTAGAGTGTTGCGTTGTGACTCACGTTCTTCGGAGAACCAATCGAAATATTATGAGCTAGTGTAATATACTAATTTAAATGTACAGGAGAATAAAACAGTCCTTCTGACCCATCTTATGTGACAGTGTTTGACCGGACACATAAATTTAAGAAAGAAAGGAAGTCTTTCCACACATAAGCTAAAAATATATGTGGATACGGATTGGTGTTGGAGAAGAATACGGATCGGTTTTAGAACATAGGTCGTTATATGTTTCATTGTAACAACTCTAGAGTTGTTTTAGAACAACACTAAGTCAGTGCGTTAAAAATTACGAAGCGTGCAAAGCCTCAATCATATCTAACATGGAGTCGGCGTCATTTACATAGGTCATGCTGCATCAAAAAGCTAGCAAAGAAATATATTTGTATTTAAGGCTATGTATGTTGCTAAGTTTGCCTTCAAAAACTCTGTGTTTCTTTCTTTCCAAATTGTCCACCAAAAGACCATGGGAATAGTGTTCCAAAGCTTGTGTGTCTTCCTATTGAGACCATCTCTTTTCCAGCAATGTATAAAATCTAGAATGGAGTGAGGCATTGTCCAGGACATGCTTGAAATGGCAAAAAACATGCTCCAAGTCTGATAAGAGATCTTGCAGTATAGGAAAAGATGATGAGTATCTTCAGGGTTCTTTTCGCAGAGGAGACACCTGCTACATAATTGCATTCCTTTTTTCTGAAAAATTGGTTGGGTGAGGCATGCTTCCTTAGCCACAAGCCTGGAAAAAACAAGAAACATTCAAGGGTGCTTTGTTGTGCCAAATATACCTCCAAGACCAAAGATCACTGTTGGAAGAAGTCAATGACATGTAACAAGACTTAACTGAGAAGATTCCACCTGAATGGTACCTCCGTATAATAGAATCATCCTTGTGTTGATCCAAGACAGTGGTGCTAAGGGACTGTAACGGAGCACAAAATCTTGCAACCTCCCAATCTTTTAAGTTCCTTGTTAGAAATACATTCCATCCTTGAGCATAAAAAAATCAGCTACAGGGGCATTATGAAGTGAGGAAATGTTGTGGAAGAAGTCATTTAAATTCCATAATTGGCTTTTCTGGCACACATGATCGGATAATGGCTATGCATGCAGATCTTAGATCAGGCTAAAGCTTTATTTGATATCAATTGTGCTCAGAGTCATGTCAAGACTCGTGTAGGTTATAAGCTATGTTGCTCGGACTCGGGTGCGGGCATCCGATATGGGTACGGATCCGAGAGGGATTCGGCAAAATCTAAATTTTATGATTCGGAGGTGCGGATCTAGTTATGGATACAAGTGCTGGGATTTGGCTAAGAAAATTCAAAATTATAAAAATATTCTAAATTTTGAGAGATATTATGTGAAAAATTTACATGTATATTGAAGCAGCGAATATGAGACAAAAGGACTATAATATTGAAGGTATGCCATTTCCCACGTCTTAAATCTGTTTCATCTTTTATTTTGGGAAATCAAAATCTTAATTCCACCCCCCC